TTCAATACAAAAATGTAAAAGTATAGTTTAACATCACACTCTAATACTATATTTAATTCTTCTTCATTTCACACAAATAATTGTGCGGGTTTGCTTAAGTTATCGTGACTTTACAAAAACCGAGTTGTTCTAAGGGGTGGGGAGAAAAGAAAATCCTTGTTTCGTAGAGGAGTGCTCCTTTTCAAAACAACTCTTTGATGTGCAAGTTTTCTAATATTGGAAGACGGCAAAGCAGTTAGTGATGATGCATAATAATAGTTAATCATTTGTATAAATAAGTTTTTACTTAGTTGCTTCAATTAGGTGAGGTAAAAGAGAACTATAAAAAGTGATTCTCCAAAAGTGAAAGGAAGATCACAATTGGTGAAACCGTGAAATCATAGCGACTTGTAAAGAAGTGCTTTTTATAGCCAATAATCAACTTAAAAGGGGAGGGGGTATACAATAGATGTATGAAGCGAGTTATCCGAAAATTCAAGCAAAAAATGGATTCAAGTGAATATAACTATCATTTATGCAATTTCAGTGTACACATGGAATAACATTAGGGCATTAGCTCGGCCATATAGTTTTCAATATCAAGTGTCAACATTTCACAAAATGGTTCAAAGAGGAAGAAGAAATTGACAAAGCTTAGGACTAAAGCTGAGACGGTTGCTGAAGAAAAACTTAGTTCCCAACTTGAAAAACTTGCTTACTCATCTTTTCAGTTTTATTGAGGTTTTAAAGCTCGGCCACATAACATGTTTGTTGTCAACTGCTTTATTATTGTTTTGATGTTATTTGCAATTGGATTAAGTTATGCAAGGGTTTTCCGATGTTGTAATTTCGCTTCCATTTTTCCCTTATGCAATTATGCACAACGAGTAAAGATGAGAAATGATATTATCAAATCAAATAGACTTCAAACCTTTGCTTGACTTGTATTTTTTTTAACCCGGAAGGCTCCTTTGCTTGACTTGTAAATGTTTATCTTTTGCTACCGAATACTTCGGTATTATGGGAATGTTTTGAATGGATTTTGTGTCTGCTTATATATATTTCTTAAAAGCAAAATCAGAATTAATATTTTCAAAAATTGGTCTCCTTCTCTTAACTTCTAAAAACTGCTTCTAGGATCATTTTGGTGTAGGGGTGGACTGGGTCCGAGCAGCCCTACCCGGGACCAGTACTGTTGGTACCTGCCCGGACCCGGTTTTCCGGTACCGGCCGAGGACCCGGACCAAGGTTGAATTGGGACGGGCTTTGGGCTTGAATATAATTTTGGGGACCGGTCAAGGTCTGGGACCAGTCTGGCCAAAGGACTATATTTTTATGTTTAGAGCTAGACGTGTTAAATATTTTGCTTTTTTAAATATATTGGAGCCCTCATAAGTTCTTTTACACTTTTATACAAACGCTTCAATATATGTTTTTGGGGAGATGAAGTTGTTTGAAGAAGTAGAATCAAACACCCAAAAAGGTGTTAATTTTGAAAGGAGTTTTACATGCATGCCTTCGTTTCGTAATCAATTTTGGATTATTGTGTATTGCAAATGCAAATGGTAGACGAGAAATGTTCAAATAGGGGAAAAAGAAAAGCATGAAGTAGAGAGTTTGATAATAAAGGTCAGTTAATCTTGTGCCGTAAGTAGGGTAACTTTGGTACAACTCTACAGAATGAAGGGATAGTAAGGATGACAATGAAAGAGTTCTAATTCTCGCAGGGGTTTACGCTATTATTAAAAGTGGTTAATATCTTAAAATACTAGCTATATACATGAACACATATGAGGCTATTAATTATTACAAAGTTTTCCATTCATCCCACAACTTTTTTCCTACTCATCTTATGAGATGCGTTAAAATATTTTTTTGCATTTCTTTTAAAGAGATATATTTGTATGATTGTTGTTTTTTTAACGTCAAATGCAATGACAAATTTGTTTCCTTATAAGTTTTACGAATCAAGCAAGAAGAAAGAAAAATTTGGGATGAAAGGAGTAACTTAATAGACTACTACACTATTTACAAGTGAACTACTTTATGAGACAATAAATTACGGAGATATAACTCCAAATATCATGTTGTCTTATAGCTTAGAATCAGTTGTTTGTGACTCCTTTGTGGGAGAACTAGACTCCCTTGAAGAAGTACCCCGAAAATATTAAGTTTACTCATTTTGGAAAAAGAACCCACCAATCCCTTCAAAAAAATATTAAAATTCATAATTTTTAATAATCCATGACACCAATATTATACATATAAAAATTTCAAAAAAATAGAAACATTTTGGATTTGAATATTTTTAAACAAATTCAACTGCTAAAATTTAGATTGAAGTGTTGAAATTAAAATCCCATAGTTAATGTTTTTACATCTTTCACAACAACAGATTTGACGTAATAAATAAAAAAAAACTCCAAATTTATTTAATTTACATTGGAGTGTTTGAGTTTTTAAATCATAATTATTCGTTAAAAAAAATTGAATACAATTGAATATAAAAATTAACTTAAGGTTTTAATTTTCAAAACTTGTGAAGGGTGAATAAATGTAAAACAACCATGAAATCTTAATTCTAGTACTTGGATCAAGAAAAATTTTGGGTCCACAACACTCTAACAGTTGGATCTTAGTTTTTAAAAACTTTATATATGAGATATTGGTGCCACATGAAAGATCATATAAAATTATGAATTTATATATATATATATATATATATATATTTGTAAAAAAATGGAAAACAAATGAAAAAGTTATAAAGCTCTTTAAAAGGAAGAGATTTTGTAAGGGTTCCCCTGATTGATTGTCATGTATAGTTTTTCATTTTTCAGAAAGATTCTCCCAAAATCTGCACTCTTCTATCATTCTCTCGAGGCGGACTAGGTGGGTGGGGCAATGACTAGTATTGTCTATGGGGGAGGGTTGAGGCAATGACTAGGATTGTGCGTAGAGGAGGGATGAACAGGGGGTGAGGAAGTGACTAGGATTGTCCGTGGTGGAGCTCAGGGATGGGCAGTGGATGGGGCAATTACTAGATTTGTCCGTGGGGTAGGATGGACGGGGGTGGGACAATGACTAGGATTGTGCGTGGGGTGGGGTAGGAATTGCGATGTTAGGTTAGTGGGCGTGGGCGGCTAGGTCATAGGCCGGGTGGTTAGAGAGGCAATGAGCCGGTGATCACTTATGTATTTTCGATCACTAAATGATTTATTTGTCACTCACAAATTGTGGTCACTTTGGCGTTACTCTAACACGAGTGAGTGGAATTATACTAGTATAATGATATAACAGTCTTTTGGCCTCTTTGTAGTTTCAATTTTGGAAACAAAAAAAAAACATTTTTATGTCCTTGTCTTTAATATGTTTGACATAAGTTCATAGAGGAATGTTCATGTCAGGCCGGCCTGACGGGCTGCCCCGTCCGGCCGAGCTCGTTTGGGCACCTTCCTGGTGGAATTTTTTGATGAAATTTTTTGAGCATGTTCCTCATCAAGTCTAGTTTGTCCATACCAAATTTCAGCTCAAAATTCGATCGGGAAGGCATTCAAATCATTTTTTGAAGTTGACTGCAGTTTTATATGTATATTTTGACGCAGTCAACTTCAAAAACTGATTTGAATGCCTTCCAGATCGAGTTTTGAGCTGAAATTTGGTATGGACAAACTAGACTTGATGGGGAACATGCTCAAAAAATTTCATCAAAAAATTCCACCGGGAAGGTGCCCAAATGGGCTCGGCCGGACGGAGCATCCCGTCAGGCCGGCCTGATGAGAAGAGCACTCTAAGTTCATATCCCCTAAATAATCTTCTATTATATAAAAGCAGGAGGAAAAGGTAACAATGTTCCCGCCCAAAATATTGTCCAAAAATTGGGCCGGGTCGGGTTACCACCTACCAAGACACACACAATAATATAAGCTTAAATGCACATTTAATTCTGTGTACAACACACAACTAATAACCACTAGATTTTGAACTCTGAATTATTCAAGAAGCTGGCTTTCTCGATGGATTCAAAAATTTGAAATCGTTTGTGTAAATTAGCATTGTGATGTCCTTTCAAACTAACTTTCTCGATTTATTCAAAAGTTTTAAATGGTTGGTATATAAATCAGTACTATGCTGTCATTTCAAAATTAATATCGCGTGCTACAGGTTAGTTAATGTTATTAACCATTGGGTCAAACACTGCAAATTTTAGTATAAAACCATCTTAATTTGTGAGTGAATACAACAAGGTCGGAAATGAGGTTCCATCGCATTCCAGAGATGGAGAGATAATAGAGTTTGTTATTCATGAAAAAATGTATATTATGTACACAAAATGAAAAATCTGTTTACTACATCCTTCTTAGTACTTATCATGTAAGCTATACATCACTAGTCGACAAGGATAAAGCATTCATGCAGCAATAGAAGGGCCACATCTTGAACTGCATAAGTCAATAACAACAGAACATGCCTATCTTATTCTTGATAACAACCAGTCAGTGAACCACAACATATTCATGCACCGTATTCTTTATTAGAAGTACCTGAGTGAAGGAAATTGAATTTAAAAGGTAATCACTGTCATTACTCCCAAAAACCAATCATTCTACCAATGTTGTTTACAAGCTAAGGAAGTGCTTCGAAATATTTAGTCTACGGGAATCTTAGTGTAATATTTATTTTTTCCTTCTTATTCAAAATATAATTTATACCGATTACGAGTCATAAATATCTTTTTCTTAATTCAACTAAAATGTATATTTTCCTTAATTATAATTGTTTGTGTGAGAGTTACATTTATACGATTTGCTTTATGTTCATTTACACATTACCTAATAACGTTAACAAATACGTAATACTAAGATATATTGTTATTTCATACATGTTCCGTGTATCGCACGGTGAGAATCTAGTTGTAGACAAAGACCCTGCTAATTTTTTTACTACGTATGTTCCTGCCTTTAGCATTCAAAGCAATTAATATTTCCTATGTTACAAAGCACCCTCAAAAATATTTTCAAAAAAAAAAAAGCACCCTCAAAAATTAATACTCGGCCCAACTACTGCTATTCAAACTTGCTGTTTTTTCTCGCATATTTGGACCGTAACCAACCCTTTTAATTAGTCCAGTTGTAAATCTGCAATCCTCACTAAAACCCTAGCACAGCGCCTTCCGCGGCTAGCAGGAAGAGGAACGGACAGAAGCCAGACACCAGGGAACGGCGGCTAGCAAGAATGGTGTCAGGATCGGGAATTCGAGCCCGTAGAGTGGTCGTGGACGCCAGACACCACATGTTGGGGCGTCTGTCTTCCATCCTGGCCAAGGAGCTGCTCAATGGCGTGCGAGTGGTGGTGGTCCGATGCGAAGAAATCTGCCTCTCCGGTGGTCTTGTCCGTCAGAAGATGAAGTACCACCGCTTCCTCCGCAAGAGAATGAATACCAAGCCATCCCACGGCCCAATCCACTTCCGTGCACCCTCGAAGATTCTATGGCGCACAATCAGAGGGTAAATGCTTTCTCTCTGTAGTATTCGTTGTTCTGAAATGTATAGTTTTATTTCGATCATTTGCGCTATCTATTTGGTTCTAGTCGTTTAATCTACCCATTAACGTTTAGTCGTTTAGTGTGTGGATTCTACATATTGAGCTTTTTATAATTTGAGGAATGGTGATTTACAGAATGATTCCACACAAAACGAAGAGAGGAGCAGACGCACTAGGACGGTTGAAGGCGTATGAGGGTGTTCCTACACCTTATGATAGGGTGAAGCGAATGGTTATACCTGATGCCCTCAAGTGAGTTATTGTAAGCATCATTTTTCTAATGCATGGAAAAGCTTTATCCTTGATTGATCTCATTAATGTTTGGAACATGTACATCACAGGGTTTTGAGGCTCCAGGCCGGGCACAAGTACTGCTTGCTGGGTAAGCTGTCATCTGAGGTTGGCTGGAACCACTATGACACCATCAAGGTACACCATTTTTTCGTCTTCTCCCAATCATTAGTAATCTAATAAGTATTGGGAACTCCCCATGGTTCATGTTTCTATGGGTAGGATAACCTTTTGGAATCTCGGAAGCTTTAAGTTCCCATTTTGGTGTCTTTTCTATAAATAAAAAGAATTAGGAAACCTGTTGCTGCAATTAATTAGTGTTATGGAATTTTTCATTTTGTGATTTTTTGCTTTTTATGGAATTTATTGATTTATTGTTAGATTTTTTTGGACAGAAATTACTGTCTTCTTCAACAGTGTTATGGTTTTGTTAGACATGGTCTTTGTGGCAAATGCAATGCCTTGCTAGACATGTATTGTATTTTGTGTTTGGTTATGTACTACTCCGTAATACTTAATACGAGTAAGTTCTAGATTTGACATTTGAAGATGAAAACTTTCAAGAATATTGGCCTTTATTTAAAGTTATTTTGTGCTTATATGAAAAAAACATGTGCGTTTATTGTGAAACATGGTATAAATTTTGAGGAACTAATTATTGCTTCCTTTTCCCACAATAGGTTCTGGAGGATAAGAGAAAGCAGAGGTCACAGGTGGCATATGAGAGGAAGAAGCAATTGACAAAGCTTAGGATTAAAGCTGAAAAGGCTGCTGAAGAAAAACTTGGTTCCCAACTTGACATCCTTTCAGCTGTTAAGTACTGATCTTTTTAGTTTTATTGAGGTTTTTAAGCTCTTGTACACCAGACAATGTGTTTGTTGCCAACTTTTTTTATAATTGTTTTGAAGTTATTTGCAATTGGATTCAGTTATGCCAATGGTATTCCGATGTGGTAATTTCTCTTCCATTTTTCCCCTATATGCAATTATGCCCAACTACTAAAGATGAGAAATGCTATTATCAAATAAAAAAGACTTCAAACCCTGTTTGACTTATAAATGTTTATCATTTGCTACGGGGTGTTGGGAATTGATTTTGTCCTCTTTTTTTAAAGCATAATCATAATCAATTTTTTTTTTTTTATAAATTGGTCTACCTCTCCCAACTTCTAAAAAACTATTTCTAGTAGCATTTTGGTTTACTCAGAGGTACTTCTATACTTTCATCCAAAGTCCAAATACTCTAAACTGCAGAACTAGTTGTAAGAAGTAGATCCAAACAACCTATAGGTGTCAATTCTGAAAAGGGGTGTTAGCATCATGTTTGTCCCAAAAAAGTGTCAATGTTGAAAGGGATTTTATATGCCATCTTTTGGAGTTTTGGTAATCAATTCTGGATTATTGTGTATTGCAAATTTAAATGCTAGAAGAGAAATGTTCAAATAGAGAAACAAGAAGGGCATAAATGAGTTCAATAAGAAAGGTCTGCCAATCCAGTGCCGTAAGTAGTCCATACTTTGGTAGTTGGTACAACCCTTCAAAATGAAGGGATAGTAGGGATGAGTGGATGACACTGAAAGAGTGAGAATTCTTGCAGGGGCTTAGGTGATTATTAAAAGTGATAATATCTTAAAACACTGTAAACAAGAACACTTATAAATAATGCTAATAATTATTACAGGGTGTTCCATTCATCCCACAACTTTTTTCCTACTCTTTTGAAATGTGCTAAAATATTTTTTGCATTTCTTTTAAAGAAATACTTCGTATCTTTGTGTGATTGATGTTTTCTTTAAAAGCACAATGACACAAATTTGTTTCCTTAAGTTTGCCAAATCAAGCAAGAAGAAAATTTTGTGACCGAAGGAGTAACTTAATAGACTACTACACAATTTACAAGCAAACAATTTTATAAGAAGAAACAACATAGATATTGGACGGCAAAAATCATGCTCTTTTTGATAGCTTAGAATCAGTTATTTGTGATTAGAGTTCCACTTCTCAATATTCCTTTTCATAAACACATGCTCCCTCCCCAAATCATTCAACCTCATCTGCATCCTTGCGAGTTCTAGCTTCAACTGGTTGGCCTTTTAAAATGTTTTGTCTAGTATATGCAGATTGGTACTTTAAAATGATGTTTGATACTTTAAACTATTTACTACTTTTAAAATGATCTAGTATTCATTGTTTAATTGGTTGTTTAGTACTTTAAAAACGAGTACATGCATAGCACTCATCTAGGTATTAACAGCTGAAAGGATGTCAAGTTGGGAACCAAGTTTAAAAACCTCAATAAAACTAAAAAGATTATTCATAAACAGCTGACTATAAACAAAATTTCCCTTTGAATTCAATAATTTAATTAATGACGCCATGACTTTAAATTAGAAAAACATACTGTACTCATAAAAGTAGAAGTAGTTCTTTAGAAGTTGAAGCAGAATGATTTTTAACAGCGAATTCAAATTGAATATCGATGCCTCGTTCTTACCTCATGTAGTCATGTTGCTACAGCTGGTGCGATTATGAGGAATAGACAGGGAGAACTCATCTAGGCTATCAGCTTCATTCTTCAGGCATCGTCGAGCAAGGAGGCAGAGATGAAGGCTTTGGTGAAGGCTTGTGAAGTGGCTTTGGATTTGGGGTTTGTTGGATTCCAGATTGAGGTCGATGCTTCTTCTTCCATTACTCAGCTAGCTGATGAAATCACCGGACAGACTTCTAATTGGATTCGGACATTCATGAATCGGGCTAAAGAGAAAGGTCTTATTTTTGAGCACATATTAAGGGAAGGCAACTTTACAGCCCACTACTTGGCAAAATTAGGAAATACCGAAGCCCATTTAAATTTGCTTACTCGGGTGGCCCATCTTCCAATCAAGGTTACTCGGGTGATCAGCAAAGCTATTTTGCTGATCTTTTTGGCTTTCCAGTTTTGGGAAAGCCAAAACTGGAAAAGTTTTATGCCCCAAAAATTTTGGATCTCATTTTTTTTTTATGTTTCTCATGTATTTTTCAGAGGTATGCCTCTGAGGAGAGGTATGTCTCCTCTCTTTTTGTTTCATCTCTCATTATTAATAAAACTTGGCAAACGCTCCCCGGCGTTCGCCCCACTGTTTTTGGTGGTTTGCCTCCCGGGGCAAAAAAATATGATTTTTAAAATCTTATTTTGATTCTACCTCTTCTATAAAAAAAGAAGCAGAACCATAATTATTTCTAAACACCCCTATGTACGAAGGGTAGAAATGAAAACTGCTATTATCAAAGGGTAGACTTCCAACCCTGTTTTGACTTCTGAATAATTATCATGTGCTGCAGATTATTATATACCCAGGAGTGTCAGTATTATATCTGTCCCAAAAGTGTGCTAATACGTATTGCAATTTGCAAATGCAAAAAGCAAGACAATAAGTGTTCAAATGGATAAACAAGAAGGGCACAAAGAAGGTCGTTTAATGAGTAAGGTCTGCCAATCCTGCCATTAGCCCATTAGTCATCCTTCTGTAGTACAACTGAACAAAATGAAGGGATAGTAGGGATGAACACATTACAAAGTCCGATCGAATGAACACATACAAGGCTGATAATTGATAAATATTACAGGGTGTTCCATTCGTCCCACAACTTTTTACCTATCCTTTTGAGATGCCCTAAAACATTGTTTTGGCATTTTTTTTATAGAAATATTTGTGTGATTGATGTTGTTTTCCTTAACGTCAAACACAATAACACAAATTTGTTTCTATGTATGTTTGCCAAATCAAGCTACTAGGAAGAAAATTTTGGGACGAAAGGAGTAATTTAACAGACTACTACACACTTTACAAGCAATAACTATTGTTTATAAGACAAGAAATTATGGAGATATAGGACTGCAAAGATCATGTTCCTTCTGATAGTTTAGAATCAGTTATTTGTGACTGCTTTGTGGGAGAACTAGACCCCCTTGAAGATGTACCCCCAAAAATATTTAGCTTACTCATCTTTTTGGAAAAAGAACTCGCAAACCGCTTAGAGTTTGACTTCTCAATATTCCTCTTCATAAACACGTGCTCCCTCTCCAAATCATTCAACCTCATCCTCATCCTGGTTAGTTCTAGCTTCAACTCCCTATTTTCCCGTCTAAGAGACGCGTAGTTGTCTTTGGGTGATAGGGCAGCACTAAGAGCGCCACTGTTGATCCTCCATGACTGTTGGATCATTGGTGGCTTTGGATCGTCATCAGGACAAGGGCTAAACATTGAGTTCCGTAGCTTCAATTGCTCGAAGTAAAGCACTTGGACTATGGATTGAAGCGGGAGGCGTTCGTTTTGTGCCGCGTGGGCACCAGCTTCATGCGACAACTTTTGAAAATCTATCATCTTGCACACTCTTCTCTTGTCTTGATCTGATAACCCTCCATGAGCCTGCAATAAGCACTCAGATTCATAAGATCATAAGATGATGGTGCATACACTTGCCTATTCTAATGCCACGTTCTAAAGAATGTGAGGTAACAGTTGAACTACAGAGGGAAATTCCATATATTTTAGTTAAGCATCTAAATATATTTTAGAGCAATACATTTCAACATACAAAGAAAGGCATTTTTTTTACTTATTCTAGTTGTTTGGACAGTTAAGCATTTCATAACGATTTTGTATAAAGATACAAACTAACATACTCCGTGTATAAGGTATTGAAATAGCCCGAGCATTAATGACACGATGCTGCGTACCTTAAGATAAATATCGATGGCTCGATAGAGACTGTCATGTACCGTTCGAGCATGAGTAGGCAGCGTCTCTGCAATGGCTATAAACTTACTAAGTTTCAAGTTGGCATCTGGTGCGATTTCAGCAAGGTAATGGTCCAAAAGTTTCGCGACTTTGAAGAGTGAAGTTTGGGAAGGCGGCAAAGGAGTATCACACTCATCAAACACGTCAGATGACTCGTCTTCCATACCGTCTTCATCACTCTCATCCTTGTGCTGGAAAAAGCAGGCCAATATCCTATGAACTGTGTCCACGTCAAACAACGTGTCGCCAGCGTGGCGAAACGAAGGGATCAACAGATCATCCAACGTGGCCATCTCCAATTGGGACCCAATCCTCCTCTCAAGATCAAGCCTGCAAGCCACTGCACAGTCCAGCGACACTCCACTCCTCAAAAGCCCAAATAAAAACCCAATGGGTATCACGCATTTCTCGTCTGGAAGAAGGCCCACAATCGCCTCCACAACCTGCTTCTCATTTTCGCTCGGGCTTTTCTTGTTGAGCTCTTTCTGGGCGTAATTGACCAAAGAAGCGGCGATACTTTCCGGCCGAACGCCGCGGCACTTCATGGCGGCGATGACCCTCTGGTAGAAGTCAACGCGAAGAACAGAGAGGTCCTCTATCCACCAGTCCCCCTCACAGCTCGCGTGGCGGCTCATATGGAGCCGACCCGACCCGCTATATTCCAATCTTGAGAAACTTATTGCGATTTGCTCGGCGCAAGCTTTTGAAGCTATGGCGTCTATGCAGCGGGGGACGATGTTGAGCTCGTCGGCGAGTGGGAGGAGGGTCTCGCATTGGGTGAGAATTTCGAGGCACAATTCGAGTCTCTTATAAACGACGCTTTCGAGGTACTCTTGTGTTCGGGATGAAAGGTTGTCGCCGGAGTAGTCGCCGGTCATTTCGAGGTAGGCGGCGGCGCAGGAGAGGTGGGCGACGTTTGCCGGCGTGATCTCGAAGTTGACGCCGTAACAGAACTTTGCAGCCATTTCAAAAGCTTCGGCTCCGCCGGGTAAGCTGACAAGCTGAATTCTTGATATGCCTGAGTTCCTGTATTCTGATGTTAGTTTTCTTATCCGGCCACTCTTTGTCACCAGGGGAAACTGCACAAAATAATACAGAGTATTTTGATAGACATTAATTTAGGCTTAACTTTATGTAAATCATGTTTAGAGATTTATTTCATACGTTTTGCTTAATTCTTTGTTTTGCTTTTAGAAATTGTAAAGAAATCATATTTATGCTTTTTCACTGGAAATTATTATTGTGTAAGTTGTATCAGGGGTGCTTAGCTCTGTTTTACAATAAAAGTGAATTATATGTGAGGGCAATATCAGATTTAATAAGGATGGAGAAAGTATTAAAAATATGTCTGTTAGATATCTGAATTAAGATCTGTTAGCAGATCTTCGTAATATTGTTTAACAATTACTGTTAATTTACACTTGGGCAGGATCAGGCTAAAATGAAAAAATAGTGTAAAAAGTTGTTTGTTTGGCAGAAGCTGCCGAAATGAATGAATTTGAGACTTGTTACCTGTTTTTGAGGTCTTTTTTTATTCAGTAAGATAATATATTTGAATAAATTCTCTAGTAATTCAAGTTGTTTTGCCAATTCAGTAATTTCAAGCAACTTCAAATATTTCAACCTTGCCAAATGGGTTCTATTTCTATAGGACCCTTTGGCAAGAACTAAGAAGTGCTTTTGCTGGAATGATAGGGTGTCTAGATTTTTAGAAAGGAACAGCTTTTGGCAAATCCAATTCCAGCATTACTTTAAGCTTAAGCTAACAGAAGATAAATCTAAAGCAGTCATTGACTGAGTAAAAATGGGAGGATTTTACCTTGTGCAGTGAAAAGATTGACCCATCAACTTCTATGGTAATATCACTAGGAACGTCTCGAAACACCCTGCATAAGATCATTCCATTAGCAGGTCCAATTTCGAGCTAAAACTAACATACATTACAATTTACATACACTAGCTAAGATCAAATAACAAAATCTTCCTATCTCTTTAACCAGTATAAATATCAAATTTTTTTGTTTGAAAATGAAAATTCTCATGCCAACAATCCCAAATGCATTTTTAATCAGATAACCCAGAAGATTGAACGCATTGCATACATGAAAACATATCTAAAAACAAAAACTTTACCATAAAGGTACAACTTTTTCCACCAAAAATGGAGCATTAAGCAAATTCTCAACCCAAAAGACTAAAAGACTAACTATTACAAAAAAACTATTAAGTTTCTGTGGAGAAAAGACAGTAAAATCACCATTCGTTGCACAGGTTCTGGTGGGAGCTATTGTCTACCTGCAGATCCATTGCAGACAGATGAGCTTACTTTTGAAAAACAAGAGAAGGTGGTGGTGGTGACTGTTAAAGGAGTAATAGAAGTGTTGCTGTTGTTGGGAGACTTCTTTGGGCATTTGTTCTTTTGTCAAAAAGCATGCGCCCAAATCATAGATTAGACTTCTTTTCTTGTGGGTCATCTTTTTTATTTATTTAAAATTGATTAATCCAGCACATTTTCTAGCTGAAGCAGTCCGTGGGTGGAATAATAATCATATGTTTGTGCTAAAGTTATTTTTTAAGGTGATAAAGGGGCCTGAAGGAAGGAGACACAGAGGAAGACAATAGTTAAAGCTATGTTTTATTCACTAGTAAAAAAGTCAAGAAAAACACTCCTGTGGTAAAGATGAAGAGAAAACAAAGGAGGGTAGAGCACAAAGCCACAAAAGGACCTTTTTTTCTCCGTTTGGTTTACTTTGTTGTCCACTGAATGTAAACATATAATCATGTTGCTGTTGCACCTCCTTGACCTTATTCAACTTTAATTCAAGGTCTTTTCCTCTAATTAATACAAATAAATATTTATGTACACCAGTACAAGGACATGAATATTTATTTGAGGAGATATTTGGCTTATATTAAGTTAAGGAGAAATTTATTATTGATCTGAGGCATAAACATAGGAGATTATTTCATTAATTAGTTCAAAGTGTAAACAATATAGTACTCCGTAATATACAAAATCATTCCAGCAAAATACATCAGAAATTTCAAGCCGAATTACACATCTATACAAATTGTCTAGACCTTCAACACTTTTTTATACTGTATATAACCTTTTTAAACACAAATTATGCATCTCACCATAGTGGCAATGAGATACCATTTGTAGAAAATAATACAAGAGATAAACCAAGAAAAAGATAAACGACACATCATATATGACAAGAATAATAAGCGAGCTAAACTGAATTTAAAAACATCAGTAATATATTAATTAACCATTTAACCATAGGAGGTAATGAGGTACTCGTATCATTTATGAAAATACTTAATTTCATATATATCATCATCATAATTTGAAAACACCAGTGATATATATTAACCATTTAACCATAGGAGGTAACGAGGTATTACCCCAGTGGCCCAGTGCCGCAAAATACGTAATTTCATACGGAGTATATTTGACGAAATTAAAAAATACACAATTTCACGTGCACTTTGAGCACGTACATAAATGATTAGTTAGAAATAAAACTTGAATTATGAATATAAAACACTAGCTGGATTATAAATAGTATGTGCACCGTTCAAACTTCAAAGCTGGTCGATCTTATGTGTTTCGCTGTCTAGGGGCAAAGCTGTAAGAGTCGTGGCCCTAATTATTGTAAAAAAAAATTATGAGCTGTACTTTTTTAAAATATTTAATATGACAAAACTCTGTAAAACTACAATTAGTTAATAATATATTAGAAAAAAACAAAAGTAGCAAGTAGCAACAGAAGCATCTAATAAAAGTAAAAAAGTCATTACTTGGAACGTTCTTGAACATTATAATGTAGTAAAACAAAATCTGAGTTTATCATATACCTTTAAAATGATTAAAATCTAAAAATAATGAAGTAGGTATGAAATCACACGAAAAATATTACAACTAGTCATTAAAAAGCACACTCAAAAGAAAATAAATAAATCACACAAATGGTGACACAACGAATCTAGTTTACAAAAGGAAACGATCGAAAACATGCACTTGTAAAAATATAAATTAAAATATTACGGAGTACAAAATTGTAGTATAAGCAGTCAAATAGACATGCATGAAAGTTGAGGCAGAGTTGAGGTGATCTGGTAAGTGATGGAATGGTTTAATGAGTGGCTTCTTTAATTTGTATGTTTGTATTTGTATATAGACAATTGCATACAATTGATCAATTGTTACTTTTTTCTGAATGTTGTACATTGTATACGGTGACTATAAACTGTAGCATTGTATAGATGTATAATTATTCCGTTGGCAGATCGCCAAAAATGGGTAACCTATTAAGGATTAGTTTGCAACTGTTTTTAAAAAAACACTTCTCAGTTTTTGGCTTTAAAAAAACACTTATTTTCCCAAACACTACAACTTTTATTTTTCTCGGCTTCCACGTCAAAAGTGATTTTACTTTTTCTATTACACAAAAAACACTTATTTTACCAAACACTACCCACTTTTACTTTTCAAAATCACTTTTTTCTCAAACACTATCAACTTTCATTTAATCACTTCTCCCCATTTCATTAAAAAAAACACTTTTTTAAAAGCAGAAGTTGTTGCAAACAGACCTAAGCACTTTTTAGGGAAATTTATCTATACATGAGTATATGACAAATACATTCACGAATTCCTATTTGGGACTCACAAACGTAAATATGCCTTTAAATGAATAATAATTAAATTAAAAGATGAAAAATAATGCCAAAATAAGTATCATACATAATATAATAATACACTATTAACTCAGGAATAAAAAACTAATTAGTCATATTATAAGACTCACCACATCTTTTAGTCATATTGCTGACAATTTTCTCAAAATTTTAATACTTCTAGGCCATCTATTTCAACTTTCAAGCACTACACTAGTAAAGGTTTTTATTTGTTGTGTAGCCCAATTAAGCTGTAATAGTTGATTAAAAGTTACATGTTTCATGCATAAAATAGTTGATTAATAAGGTTAAGTTGATAAATCCATCAAACATAGTCACTAAGCTTATATGGAAATTTGATGTACGAAAGACTGAGTACTCTATCTATTACGGAGTATGATTATTCTGTTTTGATTTTCTGTAAGTTAATATTTGTTTAATTTCGATCATCAATTTTCCTGAATTATATACTGTATATAATGGTTATTGTCATAATATAACTTTCATAGAATTACGAAGAATAGTACTACATATTACTAAAAAAAATAGTACTACATATACAAAGTATATAGTTAATAATAATGATGATCAAATAACAATTTTAAAGATGAGATTCTGCGAAACAAATAGGGCCTCCGAATTTGAAGGGATCCAAGGTAAGGGAGTACTAATTGTAGGATGCATGCCCATATGATCATGATGATGCATGCCAACATGCTCATGAGTATTCCACAAATATATGTGCCTATGTGACTGTGTTCATGTTCTGTGATGATAGCGGTTGCCGGCTATTTTCATGCATTGTAGGCTCGCTACCGCAACTTAGAACTTTTTAAAAAAATAAAAAATAAAAGAGTGATTTTATATTAATATAAAAAAACATACTCGTATAAAACATAATATACTCCGTATTGACTTAATATAAACTACTACTCCCTTCGTTTCGAAAATAATATAGCGAACCTTGCCATATTGACTTTTCTTAATCAATGATCGATGACAAATTTTTAATAATAATTTTAATTATTATTTTTGTATATAATTTAATTTAATTTTTTTAAACTTTTATGAAAACATTTTAAATAAGAAACATTTTGATATACTTTTTCATATTTAAAATAATTTCGTATTAAAAAATATTATTTGTCAAAGTGAATTGTCATTGACTAAGAAAAGTCAATTTGACGAACCTTTTCGGGACGGAGAGAGTACTACACTACTACATAGTACTCCTTCCGTATTTTAATGTTTGTTACACTTTCCTTTTTGAATGCATTTAGAAGTTTGCAACATTTTTCTTTTTTAATTTATTAAGTTTTTCCTTTAAAAATATTCAATTATTTTACTTTTTCTACCTTTATATTCTATTTTATACATACTTTTTTTATATTTTCTTTACTTTTTCTACACTATTCATTACTCCTACGGTGTCACCTAGGGATGTAAAAAAAACCGACCCGCAATGACCCGCTCTGGCCCGAGACATCTGGGGCGGGTCCGCCCCGCCCCGTCTTGAAAATGGGGCGGGTCCGCCCCGCCCCGCCTATACAATGGGGCGGGTCCGGGTATTAGAATTGACCCGTGCCGCCCTGACCCGCCCCGACCCGCTCAATATATAAGTATACATACTACTCCGTATTTCTTAAATTATACTATAAATATACTTCAACATACATATGTGTGTATACAATAAATCATAAATTCTTTGATCTTATAATATATGAATATATATTAGAATAAGATGAACGACAGATTATCAATGTCTTCTTTATATATAGAATTTTAATACATATATTCAATTATTAATATAATAAATTAGATTAACTATTCAAGTCTGAGTAATTTTTCCTTAATTTTTGAAATTTTTAACGTATCATGAATTTGATTTAATATATTGATTTTTAATTATTATTTAGAGATAAACTTTATGTAGATTCAATTGGTAACAACTTCCCACAAATAAAAATACATACTAGCTAATTAGGTTGCGGTGGGGCGGGGCGGACCCGCCCCGCCCCGCATGGGGTGGGTCATGGGTCAACAAGTTTGGACCCGTGCAAGCCACGGGGCGGGGCGGACCCGCCCCGCCAAGTCACGGGGCGGGTCTGGGTCTTTCAATACCCGCCCCGCCCCGACCCATTGCCATGCCTAGTGTCACCTTTATATAGTGTGCCCCAAATTTATTGTAGAGAGAACTTTCAAATACATAGAAAGTACTACCTCCGTCCCGCTAGAAGGTTCCCATAGCAAAACGACACGGTTATTTAGGTGATAATTAAGTAAAGTACTTCGGGTATATTTTGAGAAATAATTTTAATAGGTATATATTATAATGTGTTAGTATTGATAAGTGTGATGTTATAGATGTATTGTTTTTAATATTTAATGACTAATTTGTCACTTAAGATTGTTAATTGTTTCCTAAAATGGAAATGAGAACCTTCTAACAGGACGTCCAAAAAAAGAAAGCGGGAACCTTCTAACGGGACGGAGGAGTATGTATTAAATGTTACTCCCTCGCCAATTCCAAGAAAATGAATTAGGGCAGAGGATTTCTCTCGTCTTAAGGATTCCCTCGCAAGATGCATAGGCTGTAGGGCAGAGGATTTCTCTCGTCTTATGAGTGCGGCAGTTTTTGCTTGTCGATTAAATATGCTCCAGCGTCGTTCTCGTGGATGAGCAGGGTGGTAGCGGCAAAGACAGAGTGCAGGTGGGCGGCAATTTGCTTTCTCTCAACGGGAGTCAAAGCGTAGGTGCATAAATTTCAGCATAATTAGTCAAATCAGATGATTTTTGTGCTATCAAACGGGCTCTTCAACTATGAATATTGAGCTTTTAAAAAGGAGTTAATTCCCTATATAGGACAAAAAAGTGAGTCAAGATCACAAATAAGACTTCATTTTTTTCTTCCATCTGGTAGGACTATTTTATGTGTATTTGGACAAATATGCCCTTAAGGCTTTTGAAAGGTCTTAACTAATAATAAATCCAAAAAAAATAATAAAAAACGTACAAAAATAATAAAAACCTCAAAAATTATTAAAAAATTCGTAAAATATTAATAATTTTTTTGTATTTTTTTTAATTAAAAAAATGCTAAAAAAACGCCGCCGCCTCTGCCACCTCCAGCACCACCACCTCCATCACCGGTTGGAAATCTGCCAATTTTTTTATTAATGCCATAATAATGGCAGAATCAATGATAATTTTGGCATTATGATAAGTAAAAATTCCATTTTCTTGGCATTTTAAGAAAACAATGGCATTTTTTTTTACAAATAATGGCAGAATCTGTACCAATCACATTTATTCATTTTTTTTATTTTTTATGGATTTTTACTATTTTTTATTAATTTTTTCAAAAAAAAAAAATCAAAAACAGAAATCTGCCAACAATTCTAGTAATTATGTCATTTTCTTGGCATTTTCGGGAAAAAATGGTTTTTTTTTTTAAATAAAAAGTGACATAATTTTTACCGATCGAAGGTGGTGGTTCTGGGAGGCGGTGGGAAAGGTTTCCATATTTTTTTAATTTTTTAATGATTTTTTACTAATACTACCTCCGTCCCCCTATGTTTGAGACAAGAGAAGGTGGCACGGTTATTAATAAAAGTGAGTTTATGTGGTTGATATTTAATTGATAAAGTAAGAATAAAGTAGGAATGATTTATAACCACACAAACTTTACCAAATAAGGTATGAGACAATCTTAGTGGGACGGACCGAAATGGTAAAATGGGACAATCATAGCGGGACGGAGGGAGTATTTATTTTTAAATTATTTTTTAATACTTTATTTTAAAAATATTTTTATTATTTATTATTATTATTTTTGTACAAATTTAAAAAAATATATAGATTTTTTACTATTTTTCACGGGGCGGACCCACCCCGTGACTTGGCGGGGCGGGTCCGCCCCGCCCCGTGACCTGCACGGGTCCAAACTTGTTGACCCATGACCCGGCCCATGCGGGGCGGGGCGGGGCGGGTCCGGCCCGCCGCTACCTAATTAGCTAGTTTTTATTTTTATTTGTAGGAAGTTGTTACCAATTGAATCTACATAATGTTTATCTCTAAATAATAATTAAAACTCAATATATTAAATCAAATTCATGATACGCTAAAAATTTCAAAAATTAAGAAAAAATTACTCAAACTTGAATAGTTAATCTAATTAGTTATATTAATAATTGAATAAATGTATTAAATTCTATATATATATAAAGAAGACATTGATAATCCGTCGTGCATCTCATTCTAATATATATTCATATGTATGTTGAAGTATATTTGTAGTATAAGTTAAGAAAAAGTATGTATATTTATATATTGAACGGGTCGGGTCGGGGCGGGTCGGGGCGGAACGGGTCAATTCTAATACCCGGACCCGGCCCATTGTATAGGCGGGGCGGGGCGGACCCGCCCCATTTGCAAGACGGGGCGGAGCGGGCCCGCCCCAAATGTCTCGGGCCAGGGCGGGTCATTGCGGGTCGGGTTTTTTTGACATCCCTATTCGTGAACTTGGATCTTATATGATCCTAGACATGCAACATATTTGAGTTTTTTCCACTTTTAACCCTTCGACTATTATGTCATAGACATTTTTGATACTCTATTTTTTTTTCATTTTAAATACTTGACTATTGTGCTGAAGACATTTTTGGTATCCGTCTTTGAAAAATTTCATATTTAGTCTTTCAACTTTCATAAAAGTGACACTTTTGATTATTCAACTATTATAATAGTGACATTTTTAATTTTCTATTTATTGTGTCAAAATCCTAATGAGAGGACTAAATGTGGGAAATCTTGAAGTTGAGGACTAAAAATGTCTCTAGCACAATAATCAATGACTAAGAATGAAAAAATTAGAAGATGAGTACCAAAAGTATCATTGACATAATAGTCGGAAGACCAAAAATGGCAAAAACTTCAACATATTTACTAGTTTATATATCAAACTATATTCTAATGCCAGATATATAATAGGTTCAACATAGATTTATCACCTCATCCACATAACTAGTTAACTACCGGTTTATATATCAAATTATATTTTTCTAAACGTGTTATAATATCAATTCATATCAATGCCAACATTCTTCATTGAGATATTCGAACTTGTCATATCTTCTTTAGAAGATCAATAAATGATGCTATCAGACCACAAAGTGCTTGACTGATTGAGTTAGTTGTAAAAACTAAAACACTTAAATCACATGATTAAACATCAAATTTATACTCTCTTCATCCTACTAGGAGTGTCTCATAAAACTTGTAAATTACTTTTACTGCATAAATTCATGTTCCATTTCCTGTGTCACCCCTCTCGTCCCGAGAGAAGCCATATCTGTGCATAAAGTAGTTCTTGAGCATAAGGCCATAAGCCATTAAGCCCAACGTATCCGCAACTCGTGAAGTGAAGCAAAGGGAAGGGCGATGGATGTGTATTCATGGGTCCGACGCCGTCTATCCAGAAACAAACAGTCATCTCTTCCAGCGGGAGGAAAGAGCAAAGTATATCGTAAAACCGAAGAAGATGACCGCCGACTTCACGGCGTCACTGAAACACTAATCGAACTAATCAAATCTTTCTCTGTTGAAACCTTCATAAACTACACACTTCCTGGTATATTTACTTGAAATTGTATAACCATATGCATATCTATACGCCTTGCCGTATTTTGCCAAATCTCTGATTGAGTAGCTTTGTACAGATGACGAGGGAGCTGATGGGGAGGGCAATGAAGGACCTTCTCGCAACGTTCGAAAGGATCTGTCGGATTGGCAAGAACATCATGCTCTGCTTGTTCTGTCCGAAGTCAAGGTTTTTCTACTTCATTTTCTTATTTGATACTCCTTACTTGCAAATTGATCAGAAACTGAATTATTTTGATATCTAATTTTGCCTTGCGGTTTGAGTTCATTGCTTGAAGGTTAGACCTTGTAAATTGCAACCTTTGATATGCCCTAATGCAATTCAGTGTAATATAATCAAATACTACAAATTCTTATGGTAGTTGCATACTGGCATAAATGTTTATTCACAAGTGGTATTGATGGAGTTTGTCTTTGCACTTTTCATAGCCCTTACGTTAAAGCCTTAAAGGCACTACTATCTACAACCTCCGTCCATTTTAGTTTTACTTTTCAGTCAGGTAAACTTTGACCAATCGTTTTAGCTAATATATTGATGTGAAACTTATAAATTTTATACTTTCGTATATAAATATATAATCGATCAAAGTTTAACTTCATTGACAGGAAATGTCAAAGTTTGTTAAATATAAAGGGACGGAGGAAGTATCTTAGAAGGAAAACTGTTTCCATATTTTTCTCTTCCCTGAACTCAATCTGCCTATCAACTTCCGCTGTTACCCATAAAATTCGTTTGTTAGTTTCACCTAGAAATTTATCTTTATTTCAACCTGGTATTGTTTCGTTATTTAATGTCTTGAAAGAAGTTTTATTTTAGGTCTAATAATAGGTCCACGAACCCATTTCTAATTGCATTCTCATATCCTATATGGTAATGAGGTACCAATCTACTCCATATATTCTACACGGTACTTGATTTATCAATTTTTCAAATGCTCACTTTGCTTAAAAGTTAAACCTACCCTGTAAACAAATAATTTCTTTGGGTAAAGATTTTTTTGTTAAATAAGATAAAGTCATTCAATTCATTTCTTTGTTGCACAAAACTGGCCATTTTTTACACTTCCATTTTTTTGACGCAGTCTTATGTACGGTGGGGTAGGGGGGGTCGGATGTACGCAGTCTTACCCTTGTACTAAAGCACAGAGAGACTGTTTCCGGATGACCCATAGTGAAAATCGCGTCCAAAATTGGATGGACTGATTGTTGTTTCATAACAAAGAAGCGCAGACAGTTTAGTGAGCCATTGTGCTTTATTCCATCATATTCTCAAGCCAATAAATAATGAATCTTTGGCTCTATTTTACAAATCACATGTAAAAATATATAGTACGTGTTTGGTGTAATACTGTAATACGTTTTATTTTGGCAAAGAATTTTTTGGAACTTGTTTTTTATTGTGGGACTAGCAAGTAGTCCATACTACTCAATATACAAATACAGAGTATGTTTTTCTTTAATCAGCATTTATTGTTAATGTGAATACTGTTATAAGTTATAACTTTCCTACAAGGGTCTTTGTTGTTGATGTGATTTTAAATTTTAATACTGCCCATCTTCAGGAGCTAGCACATCTGAGATTTGAGTTATGCCCTCGTTATTTGAAGGAACGTCAGTTTTGGAGAGTCTATTTTTCACTAGTTAAGAGCTACGTGGCAGAGTAAGTTGTATAGGTTTTTATCTTTCCCTTTGGATTCTTTCACCTCATCATATAATAATTATGATTATCACATGTGATGATTAGATATGAACTGCAAGCAGTGCGCCTAGCAAGATTAAAGCAGATGAGCATTGAGGATGAAAGCATTCCAGATAGTAATGTGTATGAAGTTGAGATGTTAGAAACAAAGCAAAGGATACATGACATTTCTTTGGAGGACCACAAATGACCTGACAATATAACTGCAAGCAGTGCGCCTAGCAAGATTAAAGCAGATGAGCATTGAGGATGAAAGCATTCCAGATAGTAATGTGTATGAAGTTGAGATGTTAGAAACAAAGCAAAGGATACATGACATTTCTTTGGAGGACCACAAATGACCTGACAATATACAAATAAGTAGGTAATAGGTTCTGGTTTTTGTCATACCTTGATGATCACCTTTTTTAGAACATTGTCTAGCCTTCTCAAACTGTATCAGGCTCAGGGTGAGTTGATGTCATTCAAAGTGTATACTATGCTTAGTTATGTTTGTATGTAAAGTTTAGAATACAATGGTGTGTTTACTATGTCGAATATTTCACGAGGGTAATGTTGCGAAATACTTTGCACAGTCAAAATCAAGCGAAACAATTACTACGGGACAATTTAGAAAAAGATTGCATGCCTTACCTAGCAATACAATTTGATTTTTCATGCAAAGTTAATACATCCTTACACTTTGTGTGTCATCACTTTACATGTAATATTTTGATATGCAAACTAGCGGCCACCCCGTTAGTATGTTGTTCAAAATATAACTAAACATTCCAGTAATGCGCCTCATGGTATTCAATGGAAAGAAATTTTGATTCCAGTAACACAACTTTTTTCCAGTCTGCTTATAAAATTCTACCTTTCACTTTCTTGAGAATTGGCCTACATTTTCTAACTAAACATTCCACATTTGTTGATCAGTGAATTTAAACCTAAAACAATGTTAAAGGCTAATCTGAGGGATAATAGAAGCCCCTACTTTTATTGCTCTTGGTTTATTGCTATATATGTAGTTGAAATTAAAGACCAATCAGTATTCAGTAATCATCTTCATTCATCACACGTTCATCATAACAATAAGCGTTTCATTCAGTCTAAACTCTAAAGTTATAGAACAAATTAGCAATAATAACATTGAATGTATTGACATATACTCTCACAATTATAAATCTCAAGTAACTAACCTTTTATATTACCTAGAATCTTTAAGAGAGCGAGGAAGCAGGCCTTCAAGTGAGAAGTAAGAGCAGCTAACTGGTCGAGAAAAGGCAACAAAATTATTTCAAGTAGTTAGGATATTAATTGCTTGCTTTAGAAAGACAAACCAGACATGCCATAAAGGGTTTACCAGCTTCACCAGTCATCTATCTATAGATGTGGACTGCTTTAGGAAGGAAATGGAAAAAAGCAGACTTATTTTCAAGAAAGTGAAAGCTAGGGTTGTTATAAGCAGATTGAAAAAAGGTTGGGTTATTACTTATTAGAATCAATTTTGCCTAATCTAAATTGCAGTTGCTTCTTAAAACCAAAGCTTTTCAATTAAGAAGTTCTTTAAAATCTTTGAATGGTTGACTTCGTGCTTGTAGAGCATAGGTTGCTACAAGAAGTTGGCTTCTTGCTTCTGGCCTGCTGCATTTGGTTATGATATTGGGAACACAGGTTTTGGTCAAGTGATTGTAATGTCATTACTGTTTTTAATCCCTGACATTAGCTGTTTCCACTTTTGATGCACCGCTACAGACTTCTTGCTATTTTTGGTGCATGTGACACTGAACCCTACTTCTTCTGTGCAACTTTGGATTGATTTCCCATCATAAATGACCAGTAAAACTAAATGTGGCTAAGTAAGTCATAGTTATGCACCAAAAGTGAAAAGAATGAAAGTCGGGGATCAGAAGTTATTGAATTCCTAACCTCCATTACGATGGATGGTTTTTTGTTGAAGTTATAGCACAGTTAAACTGCCCTATACAATAATTTATATCAGATTCATTCAATAATTACAACAAACTGTAGAAAGCGTGTTTGGCATTTAGCGGTTAGCGGGAGTTGTCAATAGCGGATTAAATCAGTTGGTTTGACTAGCGGAATAAGTTGACGGGTTGCCACAAGATGCTTGGTAATTTAGCTGCTTGGCCATAACAATAAGTGAAAAACTTCATATTTTAAGGGGTGTTTGGAACTGATTTTGCTTCTGCTTCTTTTTCAAAGCAGAAGCAGAATCAGAATCAGTTTTCAAAAGCTGGTCACCCCCAGCTTCTAAAAAAACTGATTCTAGGAGTAAATTTGAGCACCAGAATCATTTAGGCTCTTTCACCCAAACACTTCAGCTTCAGGGAGCAGAAGCAGTTTTAAGAATCACATCCAAACACCCCCTTAAAACACTAACTTAAAACTCTCCTATTTGCAGTGTTTCCGTCCAAAAACGCAAGGGTCGAACAACTATTTACCAAACAACGTCTTCACGTATAGAGGATCAAACCGCCATTTTTTTGCCAGAAACACCCAGAAACACCATTTTTGACTTATTGAGTTCATTTTTAGATGGCAAGGATGAAGAAATGCAGTAAATGATTCTCTGCATGCAAGGCTGATTTTTGTTAAGAGTAACTGCAGGGCACAGTTAAAAAGGCAACACGTTTGAAGAGAATTGCAGGTAACTAGGTAAGTAACACGTTTTTACTGAGTTTAGACATTTGAGGCAACTTAAAAAAGCATCCGACGAATGAATTGAATATTTGAATGCATATTAAATGCCATTTAAGTTCTAATGCCTGTCTATTTTAGTTTGGTGCTTTGATTTAATTGTTTGTACTTTGTAGTTTGTACCCCGCTCTTAGGCTGTTAGCGCACCATATATTCAGCTGTATATGCCAGTGGGCGCCAGAAGACAAATGAGCAATATATGAAGAGTTGGACTAATGAATCTGATTAGTGAATAAGTTTGTACTTATTGAAAGCTTTACTTTTTGGTAAAACTTTTGTTTTTGTGAGGTCTTTTATAGAAAGATTCAAAGTAACATTGTGAATATGTTTTGCTGATTTTAGAGAAATCAGTGGACCTTGAGAAGACATGATGAGAAATTGAGATGTCTTCAGTGAATGAAAGTGAGGATGCCATTTTTTGTACGTATTAGGTGGGAGGTGATTAGTCTAATCGAAGTGGAAATTAGGTTTTGTGGTAGATTAGGGCACACTGATCTGTCAAACTGTGATTTGTTCGAAAAAAGGTTCATTGTTCTTTCTTCCTATTTGGTCCTATAACAATGATGGTGATGACTGTTTGGTGGTGCAATAGAATAAAGGAGAGGAAGAAATTGGTAAAGATCCTTGGCCCAATTAGTCCGCGGTTGTGTTCTACTTTATGTGCATTATTATTATTATGACCAAGTATGATTGGTTAGACAATTATTTTATGTGCGTTATGACTAAGAATGTTGTTAATTGGACTGGTCTGATTTGATTTATTTAAGTTTGTTATGATCTAATTTGAAATGATCTAAATGAATTAATAGATGTTTGTTATATGTGTATTTTACAATGGTCAAAGTCTAATTTGATCTCGACCAATCTAGGACTGGAATCAGTTCAACTAAAAACATCATAATTATGTTTAGTTAATTAATTTTTTGACCTACACTTAATACGCCCCCCATTGCCTTGTAAAATACGATAGAATTGTCTATGTTTTTTTAACAGAAAATTGATTAATTTGTATGAATTAACGTTATATCTTATGAGAATGGCAAACCTTCTTAGCTTACTCATTTCTTCTAGATACGTAGTATCTCTTATACTTACCAGTTAACTTACACTAAATATAACAGATTACTCTATTTTTCTCTTCATATGTTTCCCCAAATTTCTTTCTTCCCTGTTCTTCCTCACACAAAAGAAAAGTATTCTATATTGACATTAATCTTGATGACCAATAATTTAAAAGGAACTTACTCTAAGGCGACAAGCCATCTTAAGAAACTCTAAAATAAAAGAGATATTACCCAAAATGGGATTAAAAAAGTTTGGAAATTTCAAAATAGGACTTCCATGTTTTTATTCCCAAAATAGGACTAATTACTATCATGTTTTGGCAGTACCAGACTTCAAACATGGCAGTTTTTTCAAATTTGACAGTAATTAGTCCTATTTTGGGAATAAAAACATGATAATCCTATTTTGGAATTTTCAAACTTTTTTAGTCCCATTTCGGGAACTTTCCCAAAATAAAAAGATAAAGAATTTCGTTCCAGATATGTTTATAATAATTGGTCATTTAAAGAATACCCTATTTTCTTCTAACAAACAATTTGTTTATATTTTATTTCAATTTTAAATAAGTACTTTCTTGCTCAAACGAATAAGAATATTTGAGGTAATAGTCAAAGCTGTCATTAGAAAACCAATATAACTTGTAAGCATGAAAATGCCACTTTAAGTATATTTTCTCAAGTTATGTCATGATCTGCAAAAAAAAAAGAAAAGAAAAAGAATATGACATGATTAAATAGTCTTTACCGATGATTGAGTTGACAGCATTTTCATTTTTTGTTAGATATTCAGTTTCTTAAATACTACTCCCTCCGTCCCGCCAGAAGGCGTGAACGGTTTACGATGCTTGACTGACGATAAAGCAACTTAATCCATGTTCACTAGGGCTGGGCACGGGCCGAGTCGGGGCGGGTAATGCAAAATAAATTGGAACCGCCGGTTCCATTGTACGGTTCGGTCCGGTCCGGGTATTACAATTTTCAAAATAGGAACCGGAAATTACCCGGCCCGTTTGAAACGGGTCGGTCCGGTCCGAGTTTTACTGTTTCTATTCTCATGTCTTGAAATTAGTAAAAACTCACGAAGTTACAAAAATCAATAATCAATAATATAGGACATTAGCAAGTTTGAAAATAACAACATAGTGGTGCACATATAACACAAGCGAAAAGTCCAATAATACTTCATAATTTCTTGTATATAAGTTTCAAACAATTAAAGAAATTCCAAAAATATGCAACATAGCCAATTTACATATTTTCTAACATTTGTATTTAAACATGTTGTCTAACATCACATATTATAGTGATTTTTTTTTATATTAAATTTTCAGTATTAGCCAAAGTTGACACATACATGGTGGGTGGTAAACACAATTTATATATTTTAATAACAATATAATAAAAAAATATAACAAAATCATCTTTAACAAATAATTAAATTCCATAGAAAGGAATAATTCAATAACAATAAAAAGTAATAAGATATTTATGAAACATTTAATCAATAATTTGAAAACAAAAGGATGTTACTCCAACTCAATTTAAAATCCTACTTCTAGCAAAGAAAAGAAAACTATTTTAAAACCGATTATCACAAAACTATTAATAAATTAATATACAATATATATAACGGGCCGGGCCGGGTACCCGTTATTTTTTAATTTTGGAACCGGTCCGGTTCCTTAAAAAAATTACCCGACCCTACCCGGACCGTTTTATGGCAACAAAAAATGGAACAGGCCCGTTTTGGACCCGAACCGCCATTACCCGGACCGGACCGCGGTTCCAAGACCCGTTTGCCCACCCCTAATATTGTTCACATTCTGATTGTTTTTAGTGAATAAAATTTACATATTCAGAAACT